AAAAAAAAAAAAAAGATTTATTTATACATACAAGAACTGGGGCACAGGCCAGAGATCGGGGTTGAGAGAATTCACCAGAGACAGAGTAGGGAGCACAATAGACAGATCCACTGAAATACACTGCGGAGGGGATCAGGAGGTGAGACAGCAGAGGTCTGCTGTGCCATGTGGGTCAACTCCCTGGCTAGGGATAGAAACTGTGCAGTGGCTGTGGATAGTTTCATAGTGCTGAGACTTAACTCCTTGCACCACCAGGGAGGGCCCCTTGTCTTATTTGGTCTTTTGAAAAGTATGGAGAAGGGAGTTGAAAATGTTACGTTTTCCACATATATATAGTATTCCTTAGTCTGGTATCTGTTTAAACACAGATAATACAGTTATGGAATTTTGGAGCTGGATAGGATTTTAGAAATCATCTCTGTTTTAGAGATGAGGAAACTGATACTATAAAAGGTCATGTGGCTTGTTCGAAGTCACAGTACGACTCAGAATCAGAGTCCACCCTGGGTCTCTGTCGGTTTTCTACCCAATATGTCACCCGCCTGTCAAGATTATAAAAAATAAAGGACATTTCCCTGTTTTTCCTCCTGCATCTTTTTTACAGCCATTCATTCTACTCTCCATCTGTTGAAGCTGGGCAGCCCCCCACCACACAAAGAAGCCCGCCAGCGTAGGAAAGAACTCCGAAAGAAGCTGCTGGCTGAGCAGGAGGAGCTGGAACGACAGATGAAGGAGTTGCAGACGGCCAATGAAAACAAACAACAGGAGCTTGAGACAGTCAGGAAGGTGGGAGTGGACTCTGGGCTGGGGAGGGCCCTCTACTTCACTGCAGAAACCAGCGTCTTTACTGAGCTTTGTTTGTACCAAGATCAGGTTAAAGCAACTGTACGGAGATTTTTTAAGTGAACTGTGTTCTTAGAAAGTATAACTAGAACATTGAGTGAGACACCTGTTTTTCTCAGCTTTGAAAGTACGAGGGACTCAGGATATCAAGGACATTTATTGACCAGAACTAAGATTATTTTTAAGAACGATGAGCACAATTAAGTTTTATCAGAGAGGGCCCTCCCTGGTGGCACAGTGGGTTAAAGCATAGCACTAAGAAGCTAAAGTCACTTCAGCATGAGTTTGATCCCGGAGGTGACCTACATGGTGCTGCAGACCTCTCCTGACCCACCCGCTGCGCTCCTCAGCAGTGTAGTTTGTCAGTCGGCCTGTTCTGTTCTCCACTCTGTCTCTGGTGAATCCTCTTACTGCCTCTGCACTTCTGGTCTGTATACATAAATAAACAAATCTTTTAAAAAAATGTTATCAGAGAAAGATGAGAAATTTTAATTTCTCTAAGGATGCCAAGGGAAGTTTTGGTGACCTGGACAGGATTTGTTGCTTTTTAAAATTTTCCCTCTTGGCCCCCTCCTTAAAAAAAAAATCCTTTAATAAAAAAAAACTATTATCGATCATTTAATAATATTTAGTTTTCTGTCAAGAAATAGAATTCTTCAGTTTTTCATTGAAGTATATTAAAAAAAAACACTACTCGGCCCTCCCTGGTGGCGCAGTGGGTTAAAGCACTGCACTGAGAAGCTAAAGCCACTTCCGCATGAGTTCGATTCCCGCCTGCCCCGGA